CCTGCTTGCCACAGGCTGGTCCCCCCCATCTCCTCTGGCCAGCCCCAATTCCCCACTCCTGGCCAACCCTGCTTCCCGCTAGCCAGTTCTCCCCCTCTCCCCGAACTCTCTCACCCAGCCCCACTCCCCTCAATCTCCGCCCAGCTAGCACTGCTCCTCTCCCAGCTGGTCCGCACCTCCGCCCCCACCCCCCATCTGAGATCATGTGTGTCTGGTATTTTTTTGGAAGCCATCTGGTAACCCTATCCCAGACAGAAAGCTCAAATACTGGACTGTCCCGTTCAAAACCAGACACCTGGCAACCCTAGCCTTAGGGGACAGATAGCACAGAAAGCCACCCTTAACGATGTAAGCAGGGTCTGAAGAAATGCTTCCATTACAGCCAGCCGGAATGGAGGAGAAACCCCGGGTGTGTCTATGCAGTGCTTTTTTTGTGACGGTATGGCCTGGAACGGCATACCATCTCCTATTTTCCCAGCCCACAGAAAAGGTACCCATTTCCCCTGTGCATACCGGCACCTGTTTTCCTGGGGCAGCTTGGCCTCTGACGGGATGTGCGGCATTTTTTTTTTCCTGTTCCCAGTGTGGCATGGCTTTTTTCCCCCCTACTCCCAGCACAGTTTTAAAGGGGCTGCATCTGCATTTTGGCTTTTTTCTTCCCTCAACAAGTTTTCCTTTCTATTTTTTTATGGCCAACAAGTTTTCCTTCCTTTTTTTTTCTCAATGACTTTGCCCCAGAGTACCAAAACAAGCACTGTGTCTATGTAAATACAGTTTGCCCCTGCTTTCCAGAGTCCTGTGAGATTAAGCTGGGGAGGGTAGTACTCAGCAGGCTGCGAGTCCTCCGGGCACAAGCTGTAAGATTAGTTCAACCTGTTCCTCCTTCCCTCCCTCCTCGTCTCAGTGATAGAGCTAAAGTCAGGTTCCATAAGGAATCTCTTTTGTTATTTAAATTACTCCAGTGGATGCTGGACTTTCTTGTGGCTGGACTGTGCTTTGGGTCAAGAGCTGAAATCACTAGCTTTGGCCCATAACCAAATCCATCAGAAGCCGGCAGAAGCAGTGAGTGGATGGTGACAGAGCTAACAGGTCAGTAGCAGAAACATGCAACGAGCAGCCAGGAAAACAGCGGCAGCACGATGAGCAGCCAGCAGGATGGTGATGCAGAGGTTTCATGAGTGGCCAACAGGGCTGATTGGGAGTGACCTGCGATGTGAGGAAGTTGCCTCTTTACTTCCTGCCACTCAGGATGTGAGGTGAGCTCTGGGTCTGCCCTGACCAAGGGCAGCAAGTGTGAGTGGGGTGCAGAGCAGGGTTGGGTGTGTAAAGGGGCCATTGACATTGCTGGACTTACGAACCTGAGAGGAAAAGGACTTTGCCCACCCTAATTGGGGTGGGAGGGTAACTCCTGGTTCTGATTATGAACTCTCTGGTGGTTTCCCAAACCAATGCCAGGTAACCTACCTCCCTTTTTATTAAAAGTTTCTTTTCTCCACTCCGACTCTGTATGTGTGAGTGGGGAAGCATTTCCCAAGGGTGCTGTGTGATTTTCCCAGCTTACAGGTGCAGTAACATAAAGGCCTAAAACCTACGTCCATGTACAACAGGCCTGGTGTGAGGACTGATCCCTAGCTAACAACAGACAAAACATGGCTAATGTAAAGCAAAGCTAAGCTGTGAGCAAGAAGCTTGACCGTGCTCACAGAACTTGTCACAAACAGGGCTGAGAGTGCAGAACACAAATTGGTAATAGGCGCAGGTAATTGGTACTGGTCATAAGCAAAGTACAGAAATAGTTGTCAGTAGACTGTACCGAAACACCAAGCATATGGACTCCATATCACTGGAATGACTCCATTACTGGGAAATTTCTGCACCGACCTGGTAAGAAGCACACTGATGTGGACTTCTTCTCGAGAGTGGGGGAGGAGAAAGAAGCTGCACAAGGAAAGGAAGGAGACTTGGGTGGGGGCTGTGTGAGAGGGTGTCGGAGTCCCAGGAGAGGAAAACCCCCACACCCCACACTGATGTGTCGCTCTGCACTGGTACCACAGCGCTCTGGAGTAGTCCAAAGACTGACACCCCCCCCTCCCCAAGACACCACTTTATATACAGGTTCTAACAACTTACACATCACTGCTGACGTATCAGGTTTTCACCCTCTGATGTTGCCGGGTTACCGCTGTCCGACGCTACTTCAATACCACCCATCGCCCTGCACCTCGTGATCTGATTAGATCATCTCTATCCATCATGCTGTCAGTTTAGACCCTTTCCTGAACCTGGGTCTGTATCCGTGAGGAGTGTGGTTTCCAAGGTCTTTTTTAGTGAGCTGGTGGTGCCATGTGCTTTCAACTTATGACCAGTACCAATTACCTGGGTCTATTACCAGGCACCTTTGATCCTTATGTGGTTTGTGGTCTCATGGGGCTCTCCTGGGCTTGCTGCACAAATCGACACGGCCCACATCATGGAGCGAACACAAGTCCCCCACTGCACCTCTGGCTTTTAAATGTAGACAAGTAAGCTCTGCAGAGTGCACTGCTTGGGTCAACACATACAGGACCTCTTACAATAGCAGGTGTTTATGATGAGAGAAAAATTCTGCATTTAATTTTCCTCTTGCAGGTTTCTCCTCCCCAACACTTTCAACCCAGCACTTTTCTCCTGTTCTGATCGTAGGAAAGTCTCACACTGTCCACCAGGTGCACCTTGATCATGCTGATTTTTTCCATCTCTAGTATCTAACTCAACCGCACCCAGGGGAAAAAGCCCCACCCCTCCCGGGCTTTCTTTAATTGTCAGCAACAAAACTACAATTTAAAATTGGAGTTCAGTCCAGTGAGAGCATTGTCCAATTTGTTCTTCTTCCCACAGCAAAACACACTCAGACTGTGATTCCTCTTGGGATGCAGGGTGAGTGGGGAGCTGTCTCTCAGGCTAAGAGGCATCAGCCTGGAATAAACCCTTTTTCCTCTTTTTCAAATTAATCAGCCTGACCTGTAGACCAATGTTAAGGCTCAAAACCAGGGACCAAGGTTAGCTGTCCAGATGCTTTTGTATGTGCACTGCACATTTCTTCACGACTCAGAATATTTTAGCTGACACAGTTTGTGTAGAATTTTATAGCCTATATTGAAACTCTTTTTTTGAATGTGAACCTTTCAGCATCAGCTTCAGGAAATAGCCGAATTAACCTGTAGAGGATAAACTTAAAAAACAGCAAATGGTCTGGTAGCACTTTATAGACTAACAAAACATGTCGATGGTATCATGAGCTTTCATGGGCACAGCTCATCTGAAGAAGTGGGCTGTGCCCAATAAAGCTCATGATACCATCTACATCAGAGTTTCCCAAACTATGGGTCAGGACCCAAATATGGGTTGCCATTACATTTCAAAAGGGTCGTCAAGTGTTTCACCAGGTGGCTCTGCCCTCCCTCCTCCCCCAGTTTTTGAATTGCCTTGGGTCACCAAGTTTTCCTGAATTGTCAAAATGGGTCCCCATCTGAAAAAGGTTGGACACCGCTGACCTACCTGTTTTGTTAGTCTTTAAAGTGCCACCAAAACATTGGTTGTTTTTTAAGTTTATCTTTCAGCACCAGTTCTTCGGGCTCTTACAGCTAAAAACAGGATAGACAGCGCGGGCTTTAGCAACTTCCTCAGCCTCCTAAAGCCCAACACACTAGCAACACAATCAGCCATAGAATAGAGATATTACTGACATAGGATTCCCTGATGACATGCTGATCGGCTGACTTGCTCCTGTGGCAGCACCAGCGATCACTAGAGAGTTTCTTGCAGACACCCCACAGCTCCATCCCCCTCTCTGTAGCTTAGACAAACCTTTTCCCAGACTGACCGTCCTGTGAGCAGACAGGGTTTCCCGTGCCACTCTTCAGAGAACTGGACAGTGAAGCAAACGCACACTCAGCCTTTGCAAAAGGGTTTCAGATCCATCCCTCTTTGCTGTAGCGAGTGCACGACATACACAAATCTCGACACCGCAACAAACACCAAACCCGTTGCCCTGCTTCGCTTTCCTCGCCATGCTGGTGCATGCGTGGGGTGAAGCTCAGAGTCCCTTAGCGGGTCCCGGGTCCCCAGTCCTGCACATGGCTTCTCTTCTGAACCAGGCCACCTCGGTCTCTTCCCTCTGCGCTCAGAGCTCTCCTCTCTCTGTCTCTCCAATGCCCAGCGACAGGCCCTCCCTTGCAACCTGGCAATGTTGCTAGATGGACTGAACTCTGACCGATCGTGGGTTAGTCTGTATTATTGCCATGGGCACAAAGGGGAATCGTATCTCAGCTGGGATGAGCAATCCAGAGCTGTGTGGAAGGATCCTCTGCCATCCACGGAAGTGTCTCTGCAGGGGAGCGGGATGGGGAATGCATTACAAGGGGACAGTCCTGCATTCATGCTGCTATTTTTCCCCTCCTGCCTCCCCTCCCCCTCTTATCCATTTCTCCTGGCCACTGCAGTACTACTCTGCCTATTTACAGGGCAAGTGGGGAGGCTCCAGGGCATCCGTTAGAGACCAGGGGAAACTCGCCAAATTTCTTGTTAGTGGCATTACAAAAACAAAGCAAATCAGACCATGATGCGCCCATTCCTGTTCCCGACAAAGTGATTTTCACCTAGAAAAGCTCAAGCCCAAATAAACCTGTGAGTCTTTAAGATGGCATGACTCCTCCCTGATTTTGCAGACACAGGCGAACACGGCGACCCCTCTGAGACTTCTTCCCACGCAAGTCACTTGGATTTTCCTAACTGATTCCAGTGGGAACCAGATCAAGCCACAGGAAAACTATTAGTGGTTGACAGTGGAAATGAGTCCCAGGGATCCACACTGGAGCAGGGGTGGGGGAGAATTAGGAAGGTCCTTTCCCTTTCTATGAGCTCACATTCTGGGATCTAGGGAAATCTCTATGCCCAGAAAGGGTCTCCCAGGCTGGCTGCTGAAGGGATTTAAACAGCCGTCTCCATTGGGGCTCTGCTGGGGGCGTTTCTGTCTTCTCCAGAATTTCTCTGCTCTTCAAAAACCCTCTGGAGTGCGAGTTTGAGAGAGCCACGGAATCGCCGCTTCCTGTAGCTCCCGACTAGAAAGTAGATGAATGGGTTGATGCTGCTGCTTGCACAGGCCAGTGCATGAAACATCCAAGTGGGCTCAGATATGTCCAGGTAGGAGAGGAGAAGCTCGACGCTGTAAGGGAGAGTGAAGAGGAGGAAGAAGAGGACGGTGAGCAGGATGACAGCATAGAGCTTGCCGGGTGGGCGCCGCTGGGAGCACCGTCGCACCTTGACGAAGAGGATCAGACTGGATAGAACCATGGCAGGGGAGAATATCAGGACATTCAGAACAAAGATGTACAGGAGGGAAGCCTTACAGCTTTCACTGATGAAAACTGGACAAAAAATGACCATAGAACAGCAAAGCAGGCAGGAGAGAGCCCAGAGCAGGGCAGACACGATGGCAGACAAGTGCCTTGGCCGACGGCATCGGTACCAGATGGGGTAGAGGACGGACACGCACCTCTCGGTGCTGATGGCTGTCAGGAAGTGCAGGCTGGTGCTGTTCATCCACACACACAGCATTGCAAACAGAACTAACATGTCAATAATCTCAAGAAAGCCACAAACCGGATATCCCACCCAGTAAGCTACAAGAAAGGCAGTCGAGCAGAGGAGGAAGCCAGTGTCGGCCACGGCCAGGTTGAGGACGTAGACGGTGAAGGGGTTCCTCTTCATGCGGAAGCCCAAGAACCAGATGACGATCCCGTTCCCCACCAGTCCCAAAAGGCTGATGATCAGAGTGATGCTCATGATGGTCACGTCATGGCCATCAATCTCTGGGCATGCAACGTTGTAAAGATCATATTCGTCATCCCAGCCAAATGATGCTAATGGCAGGGTCTCTGTGCTCAGCTCGGCCATCATGGAACCCGCTACTGCGGGATGCTGGTGTCCCCCGCTGCCCCTCTCTCGCACACACACCTGTTGGCAGAGAGCAGACGGGGAAATCAGCGACTGATCCCCCAGCGCTGTGTTATCACTGCTCATTCCAGCCCCTCCCCAGTCTCCTGCCCTGGACCAGCTGATCCCAGGGGCTTTGGAGGATGCTGGGGACAGAGAAGGAAACAGAGAAAGGCCAAAGGGTGGGGAGCAGCCTGGACTGAAAGCAAGTGGCAGAGAGAAAATTAAACCCGGGGGAGAGCTGGACAGACAGGCAAGGACAGAGAGACAGAAATGGGACAGGATATTGGCTGGCCATGGATGGTCAGGGACCCACATCGGGGGAAGGAGGGACTGAGGATAGTGGGAGAGAAAAAGAATAATGCTGTCGAATCAATCAATGGTGACAATGAGCAGTGAATCCTTCCAAGTGTCTCTTACCTGCCTTCCTCCCAAACCGCGTGTTCACTGGAGCCGGGCTGGGCTGGATCCTCTTCAGAATCTCAGTGTCTCATGGTCACTAACTGCAGTTTCCCAGGGAGGATCTTCTTGGGCACGTTTTCCACCTTGCCAGTCCCTGTGCTGCTTCTGCACCCGGCGCCTGCCAACTCTAGGCAGAGAACTGTCTTGCCCACACTGGAGGGTGGGACACAGAGATCACAGCATCCGGAGGTCTCATGAGCACGGGGTGGTCTGATAACATCAAGGAACACAGCTCTGTACATTTTTCCTGCTCCCCTAAATGAGGAGGAAATTGCTGACCCAAGATTAAATCAGATGAGATCGATGTAGTTGTTATCGATGTAGCTGTTATGGGGCAGATAAATGCAGCCTTGGGGAGGGTCACATATGTCCGTTTTTTTTATGTTGATAAATTAGCTGTTTGTTCTTTGATTCTACGATGTGGGGAAATCTCCATCCCAGAGCAGAGTCTCCCAGGCTGAGCACTGTAGGAATTTAATTGACCATCTCCATTGGCTTGGCCCAGGGGTTTTCTGCCTCCTCTGTGAGATCCACCCTCCCTTCAAAGCCACTCCTCAGGGTGACCTTGATGGATCCCTTTAAATTCCACTTTCTGCAGGTCTCAACAAAATAGTAAAGAACCAGGTTCATGCTGCTGTTCGTGTGTGATATCTCACTGCAATTCTCTACAGTGCAACAAAGAAGGAAGGTTCGGACACTTGGGAGAATAGCAAAGAGGACTGCACAGAACAATGGTGCCGAGAACAATGCACAGAACAATGGTATAGAGTGTTGCTGTCCAACATCCCTGGGAACTATGTCAGACCTTGATGGGTGGAATCTAAAAAGAGAGAACCATGAGAGGAGCAAAAATCTGGGCATTCGACACACACGAGATGTGTCGTCATGATGCTCCCCCCCCCCATTTGCAGCATCATAAAAAAATGCCACTGGTCCAGCGAGCAAGATGGAGAGAGCCCAGAGCAAGGAGAGCTCGGTGTAGCACCGGCCAAAGTTGGTCCAGCAAAAACATATGATTTTTACACCAGAAATAAACTGGACCTGATGAAAATGGTGATCACTTCAGACAGTGCTGCAGCACGTTAGGGAAAAACTAGAGTGTTGCTACACAACTCAAGCCGTGCAACCCACATTTAACAGCACAACACTGCATGGCCATCGAGAAGACCTGGGTTTAGTTGATGTGTGGAACCAAGGGCCAACCATGAAGACAATAGAGACGTTTTTGAAGACCCTTTGTACGGGAGTTACAGAGCAGTGTCTGCAGGCAAGGACAGCCTGTGGAGACCCCCTGCTCTGCCTCTCTCAGGGGCTGCAGGGACATGCCAGCCACTTCTAGGAGCAGCAGTTATCAGAGAGATAATGACTCAGCCATGACAGGTTGGGTGTTTTAGAACTCACTATTCACCGAATTACATTTAAGCGTAAGAGAGAAATGAAAATTAAGAAAAGCACAGACCAGTCAAAAACAAAACTTACCCCCCTTTGCAAGCAGTACAAGAAGTAACAACCCCCAATGTGTGTGTTGCATCGGGAGATGAGAGTGAAGGACAGCGTGTGTTTGTGAGAATGACAGAAAAGTGACAGAGATGCAGCCGTGTTAGTCTGGTTTAGCTGAAACAAAAGACAGCTCCAAGGCAGAGGACAGGAGCAGCATGACAGCAGGTGGAGGGACAAATGAAGTGCCAGCGGTTGAGCGCTTCCTACCGAAACCCGTCAGGATCAGCTGACAGAAGCCCCAAGATCTACCAGTAGATCCTAATCTTCTGGTGGGTGACCACTGCCTTAGAGCAACACTATGAAAAAAATATAACTGCATCAAGCACAGCAGATGAATAATTCCACAGTGAACCTATTCTAAGTTTCATCTGCTAGCTGTGAGATCATCTGATAAGAGGTTTGCAAAGAATGAATTCAACGAATGGGCACCTTTTGTCTTTGCCTCACTTCCATCACATCAAATCAAGTGTGAATTCGACACAGGAAATATTAGCAAGTTAGACGACAAACACAGAAAAATATTGGACTTGAGTCAAGTGAGGTCATCTGCCCAAAAACCGTGGAGGAGGAGAGGGAGTTCATTGGGAGCCAATACAAGGCTTACAGATAAATAATTGCAGAGAAACATGAAGCAGAGATGACAGGAATATTGCAGGAAATGGTGACTTTCATTCTACAGAATGCAGACCAATGCAATGTAGTGTTACAACGGGTGGACAGATGTGCAACATGTCAAGCTTCCAGTGCTGATTGTGAGCGTGACTTCGGTCTTATGAATAACAAAAAAACTAAATTATGAAGCAAATTGAAAGCAGATCATTTGGATATACTAATGGGGATTAAATGTACCACTTCAAGCGATGGAAAAGTAAACCTTGACACTGTGTATGAACCCAGGACAAATTTTAAAGGCAAAAGACCTTTGACCAGCAGCAAATAAAGGCCCCATCATCTAGCCTGGCAGTGTCAACTAGTGGCTATAGGTACCATACCAATAACTGTGATTAGTGGTCTCCTATACAGGCAGTCCCCGGGTTACGTACAAGATAGGGACTGTAGGTTTGTTCTTAAGTTGAATCTGTATGTAAGTCGGAACTGGCGTCCAGATTCAGCCGCTGCTGGTCAGTTTCAGCAGCGGCTGACTGGGGGACGCCTGGGGCAGAGTTGCTCTGCCCCAGGCGTCCTGATTCAGCCACTGCTGAAACTGACCGCCAGTTCTGACTTACATACAGATTCACTTTAAGAACCCCAAGCTTCCCCAAGTCAGCTGCTGCTGAAACTGATCAGCAGCTGATTCCAGGAAGCCTGGGGCAGAGCAACTCTGCCTGGGGCTTCCTGTAGTCAGCGCTGGTCAGTTTCAGCAGCGGCTGACTGGGGGACGCCTGGGGCAGAGTTGCTCTGCCCCAGGCGTCCTGATTCAGCCACTGCTGAAACTGACCGCCAGTTCTGACTTACATACAGATTCACTTTAAGAACCCCAAGCTTCCCCAAGTCAGCTGCTGCTGAAACTGATCAGCAGCTGATTCCAGGAAGCCTGGGGCAGAGCAACTCTGCCTGGGGCTTCCTGTAGTCAGCGCTGGTCAGTTTCAGCAGCGGCTGACTGGGGGACGCCTGGGGCAGAGTTGCTCTGCCCCAGGCGTCCTGATTCAGCCACTGCTGAAACTGACCGCCAGTTCTGACTTACATACAGATTCACTTTAAGAACCCCAAGCTTCCCCAAGTCAGCTGCTGCTGAAACTGATCAGCAGCTGATTCCAGGAAGCCTGGGGCAGAGCAACTCTGCCTGGGGCTTCCTGTAGTCAGCGCTGGTCAGTTTCAGCAGCGGCTGACTGGGGGACGCCTGGGGCAGAGTTGCTCTGCCCCAGGCGTCCTGATTCAGCCACTGCTGAAACTGACCGCCAGTTCTGACTTACATACAGATTCACTTTAAGAACCCCAAGCTTCCCCAAGTCAGCTGCTGCTGAAACTGATCAGCAGCTGATTCCAGGAAGCCTGGGGCAGAGCAACTCTGCCTGGGGCTTCCTGTAGTCAGCGCTGGTCAGTTTCAGCAGCGGCTGACTGGGGGACGCCTGGGGCAGAGTTGCTCTGCCCCAGGCGTCCTGATTCAGCCACTGCTGAAACTGACCGCCAGTTCTGACTTACATACAGATTCAACTTAAGAACAAACCTACAGTCCCTATCTTGTACGTAACCCGGGGACTGCCTGTATAAAGAAAATAAAAGAAGTAATTTCTTGTATCAAAACAAAATGTTTAAATTTGTTTCACAAGTCACAACACAAAAGAGACAATCAATACACTTTTGCATATATAAAAATGCTAGCATTTTTCCATATGTGTCAAGCCAACAGACATAATCTTTAATTTCAAGCATAAACTGTAACAACTATTTCATTTCATGTATCAGTATTAATGATTTTGTTTGCTATGTCAAGAAAATGGACAATTTTGTTTTATGCCTCAAAGAAACAGATATGTGTAAGATATCAAATGGTTACTGAAAATGTTGCAGTATTATTTTCTTTTTATATGATTTCATAATAAATAAAGTACTCTACTTAAGAAGGAACAATCGGTTTCACAAATACAGAATGGGAAGCGACTGTCTAGGAAGGAGTACTGCAGAAAGGGATCTAGGGGTCATAGTGCACCACAAGCTAAATAAGCCCAGAGAAGAGCAATAAAAATGATTACAGGCCTAGAAACCATGAGATACGAGGGAAGACTGAAAAGGGAAGACTGAAAAAATTGGCCTTGTTTAGTTTGGAAAAGAGAAGACAGAGAGGGGACATGATAACTGTTTTTAAGTATCTAAAAGGACAAGGAGAAAGGAGAAAAACAGTTCTCCTTGGCCTCTGAGGATAGGACAATAAGCAATGGGCTTAATAGGGAGCAAAGGAAGTTTAGGTTGGACATCTGGAAAAACTTCATAACTGTCAGGGTGATTTAGCACTGGAATAAATTGCCTAGGGAGGTTGTGGAATCTCCATCACTGGAGATATTTCAGAGCAGGTTAGGCGGACACCTGTCAGGGACGATCTGGTACTCGGACCTGCTGTAAGAGCAGGGGACTGGACTTGATGATCTCTCTAGGTCCCTTCCAGTTCTAGTGATCTGATTCTATGACCTCAGTATTGGTGCACAAGACAAAACTCCCTCCACTCATCGATAAAAAATGTTAGTGGGAACACTGCTCTGGACCAGTGCTAACCCCTCCAAGATGCCCCATTACTTTAAGCACTGCCTTGTTTAGAGCTTCAGCTCTTCAGGGGCATGTGAAAGCAAAGCAGACAGATGCACAGGCTTTGCAAAAGGTTACAAAAACCATGTGCTCCTTTCTTTAGCTATCAGAGGGGTAGCCGTGTTAGTCTGAATCTGCAAAAGCGACGAGGAGTCCTGTGGCACCTTATAGACTAACCGAAGTGTAGGAGCATAAGCTTTCATGGGCAAAGACCCACTTCGTCAGATGCATGCATCTGACGAAGTGGGTCTTTGCCCACGAAAGCTTATGCTCCTACACTTCGGTTAGTCTATAAGGTGCCACAGGACTCCTCGTCGCTTTTTCTTTAGCTAGCACGTGAAACACAGTTTTAGACGCATTTCCTGGGGCACATTCCCCTGCCTCCGTTTTCCCACCGCTCTGCAGTGTTCTTTGATGTTACGCTTCCAAAAAGTCCAGGACTGCCCCTTCCCTACCCTACCCACAGTGCAGGCTGGGCTCTGGCAGGGACACTGTGCTCAGTTCAATCATGGAAAAACCTCTGCTGCAGGTACAGGTCTCTCTCTGCCACCCTCTCTCACACACCTGTTAGCAGAGAGAAGGTGACTGGAACATCCTCGGCACTGTGTTCACAGATCATCCCAGCCCCCAATTTAGAGGCTTTTGAGGTCCTGAGGCTATAACCTCAATGTTAAGAAGTATGGAAATAAGTACCTTCTTAATTACTCCTTTCCCCTCTGATTTTTCTAATTAACTTATTCCTGTGGTGTTTCAATCAATCATACAGACTCCCACATGGGCCAGCAGCACAGCTGGACCCTTTAACTCCATCCACCGCACTGACGGCTGGCGCACTCACCGCCAGCAGGAGTGGGTTGGCATGCGCCATGGGGCCAGCAGTGGAAGGGTGCGAGACACACGCTTTACCACAGGGTTGCACAGCTGTTTGGCATGAACAGAGGAACAGTTAATTCAAGGGAAGGGTTTTAAATCGGGCTATCTCGTCTACACACGGCAAGTTAAATTGGGCTACCTCCATTTTAAAATGGCGATTGGCCGTGATTATGATAATCAAGTGCAGGATATTTAAATCCTGCGCTTGATTTGCAACTTTGGTATGCTTCATTTGCCTCCCTAGTTCGAACTAGGGGGCAAGTGTAGACATACCCTCAGTGACTAAGCTAATTAGCAAGGCTCGCTATCTCGTCTACACACGGCAAGTTAAATTGGGCTACCTCCATTTTAAAATGGCGATTGGCCGTGATTATGATAATCAAGTGCAGGATATTTAAATCCTGCGCTTGATTTGCAACTTTGGTATGCTTCATTTGCCTCCCTAGTTCGAACTAGGGGGCAAGTGTAGACATACCCTCAGTGACTAAGCTAATTAGCAAGGCTCCAGGGACAAGGCTCTCAGAGAGGCCAATACACACCATGGCTACGTCTACACTGGCATGATTTTCCGAAAATGCTTTTAACGGAAAAGTTTTCCGTTAAAAGCATTTTCAGAAAAATCGCATCTAGATTGGCAGGATGCTTTTCCGCAAAAGCACTTTTTGCGGAAAAGTGTCCGTGGCCAATTGGATGCGCTTTTCCGCAAAAAAGCCCCGATCGCAAAAATGGCGATCGGGGCTTTTTTGCGGAAAAGCGCATCCAATTGGCCACGGACACTTTTCCGCAAAAAGTGCTTTTGCGGAAAAGCATCCTGCCAATCTAGATGCGATTTTTCTGAAAATGCTTTTAACGGAAAACTTTTAAAAGCATTTCCGGAAAATCATGCCAGTGTAGACGTAGCCCTTGTGATACATTGTTCACCTGTTTATAGACTGGGGCAGAGGACATGCTTGTGTTTTATGCTGTGTGTCTGGGACCTGCAAACTGGTCTGGGACCTTCAAAATATCATGACTGCTGACATGGGACACCAGGATAGGTCAATGGGCCATTTGACATGCTCCAGCTTGAAAGATACCAGGGATGGATATAAAATGCCATGTGGCAGACTCCATCTTGTCTCCAATTCTGCTACTGATTTCAGATGCAGCCTTGCGAGGAACAGTGAACCGGGAAGAATTGTTGGCCCATCCTGATATAGGATGTACGCCGGAGATGTTTAAGATACCAGTTTGTAACATCTCTGCTAAGAGCCTGCATGGAGAACTTGGTGATTTGATGTATGTAATGTATTCTCCTTAATAACCTTACTCTCATGCTTCTCTTTCTTTTAGAAATAACCCTTTAGATTTTAGAGTCTAAAGGATTGGCCCAGAGTGATCCTGTGGGTAAGATCCAGAATGTATATTGACCGGGGATTTGTGGCTGGTTCTTTGGGACCGAAGAGACCCGTTCACGGTAGGTGAGATTGGTTTCTATAGCCCCTCAGCTATGTGGTAGGCCCAGGGCTGATTGTGTCACAGGGAGAGTTGGGGTGTCTGAGGGGTTTTGCTCGTGAGGCTTCCCGCTGGTCGGATTGGCAGCTGAAGCACTCAGTGCAACTGGTTTCTGGCCTCTTTGGGAGCGGCTTCCAGTCATGGGCTGTAAGGAACCCTGAATTTGAGCAATTCGCCCTGAGCTGTGCCCAGACCCGGACTGGTCTGTCACACTCGCCTGCCTCTGTCTTCTCCCTCAGCAAGTTGTCCCAGGTCCCTTGTCCCAGCCAATCCCAGGCTCTTCATTTGATCATTTTCTGCCCCATCCCCACTGGCTCCCATTTCCCTCCATATCCTTGTCCCAGTATCTCTGTCCAAACAGCCCCATTGTCCTCCTTCAGCCCTAGTTCCTCGTCCATCTTCTGCCCTCATTCTTCCTGCCTTCATGCCCCACCCAGTCCAACCACCCCTTGCAGCGCCTTGTTCCCACCCTCTGCCCAGCCAATCCTAATCTTCACTCCATTCACTGAGTTCATAGCGTGAGCTCTGTGTTTACAGCCTCATGGGCTTCCAGTCTGCCCTGTCTCTCCATTTCCCCCTCAAGCCCAATCAATGACTCCCCCCTCTTCAAGCCCTTTGCCCCAACCTACTCCTTCTCCTGCTCACAAGTCTAGCTCTTGTCTCCCCTGTATTTGGATCAGGCTGTTTCCTCCTCCTCGCTGCCTTGGTTCCAGTTTTGGGAGCACTGAGAACTGATAGGAGCAAGAATTACAGGAGAATGCCTGCTTGGTGCAGGCAGTCCCAGGTTGACCCATGCCCAGATGTTCTGCCCAGATGCTGCATGCACAGTTTCACCACATGTAGGAGGTGTAAGGGGGAAGAGAGAGCTGTGAATAGATTTTTTTTTAAAAGGCTCATATCTTGGCTCCATGTGGCTGATTTTCATGGGACCCCCTAAAAGACACATCCCTGATACCAGGTGTGAAACACCACCTGGAATTGAAAGGACGCGCGAGAAGCTGCCCTTAATCTGAAGGGACTGAAATGTCACTGCCAAATGAAACGCACAAACTGTCTGGTTGTAATATGTCCAAATCTTTTGATTTTATCCGTATAAGAAGGAAACGGCATCTTTATGTGGGCAAAAGGCAAAACGCTGCATTTATTGAGCACACAATGGTAAAGCAGGTTTTTTCCTGTCATCAGGACTTTATTTTGATGAAGAGGTCTTTGTGCAGACACATTACGTATGCATTTGGTTTCTATTAGAGCAGGGCTACTGAACTTTGGAAGCCCCAGGGGCCACAATGATACTCATAGCACATGCCAAGGGCCTCAACGTAAGTGTGGTTGCATAGACATGCAAATATAGATGCAACTATATGGAAATAGCTTCTTTCACACTGCGTAAGATAAAGGCAGGACTACACAACACACAGGTCCCGTTTAATTCAGTTCTGCTGATATTAATCAAATGCAATATTTACCAATTTCCACCCATTCCAGTTCCAACGCACAATGCTCAGTCTTTCCGATCTGGGGCGGGGGCAGAGTTTGGCCTCATGAGACCCACTGGTGTCTTCATAACTGCACAGAGTCCTGGTGATCCACTCTAGGGCAGGACTATGCTCCAAGTCAGGATGAGGACGGATTAGCAAGTCCTGTCAGGGCCTTTCCCGAAGTTCTTTGATTTCAGGATGATCCGAAACCTCTATTCCCAGAACAGGGTCTCCAGGCTGGACTTCTGCAAGGATCGTCTCCTTTGGGTCTGTGCTCTGGGTGTCTTTGCTTTCTTCAGAATCTCTCTGCTCTTCAAAAACCCTCTGGAGCGCGGCCTTGAGATAACCACAGAATTGTCGCTTCCCGTAGCTCCCGACTAGAAAGTAGATGAATGGGTTGATGCTGCTGCTTGCACAGGCCAGCACGTGAAATATCGCTCTGTGCTTGAATACATAACAGGAGCACATGAAGAAGTGGATGCTCTGAGGGAGAGTGAAGAGGAGGAAGAAGAGGACGGTGAGCAGGATGACAACATAGAGCTTGCCGGGCGGGCGCTGCTGTGAGCTCCGTCGCACCTTGATGAACAGGGTCAGACTGGACAGAACCATGATGGGGGAGAATATCAGGACATTCAGAACACTGATGGGGAGGAGGGAATTGATGCAGCTTCTCTTAAAGGGATCTAGACAAAAAATGGCCACGGGACAGCAGAGCAGGCAGGAGAGAGCCCAGAGCAGGGCAGACACGATGGCAGACAAGTGCCTTGGCCGGCGGCATCGGTGCCACATGGGGTAGATTACGGACACGCACCTCTCGATGCTGATGGCCGTCAGGAGGTACAGACTGGTGCTGTACGTCAAATAACTTGTAAACAGCAATAATGTATAAAAGAAAGCAGCACAGTTACGAAATGTATATCCCAGCATAGAAGCTACAGGATGGGCAACCGAGAAGAGGAGGAAGCCAGTGTCGGCGACGGCCAGGTTGAGGACGTAGACGGTGAAGGGGTTCCTCTTCATGCGGAAGCCCAGAAACCAGAGGACGATCCCGTTCCCCACCAGCCCCAACAGGCAGATGATCAGAATGATGCTGCTGATGGTCACTGAAGGGGCATAATGCACGTGGAATCCACCGAATCCAGTGTCATTAGATTCATTTTTGTTATACCAGCCAGAGGCTGTTGGTGGCAGGGACTCTGTGCTCAGCTCGGCCATCATGAAACTGCTGCCTTGGGATGCGGGTGTCCCTTGCTGCTCCTCTCTCGCACACGCCTGTTGGCAGAGAGCAGATGGGGAAATTAGCAACTGACACCCAGTGCTGTGTTATCACTGCTTCTTCCAGCTCCTACCCAGCCTCCTGCTCTGGACCAGCCGATCCCAGTGGCTTTGAGCGGATGCTGGGGACAGAGAGAGAAATGGTGAAAGACCCAGGGTTGGGGAAAAGCCTGGAATGACGTCAAGTGGCAGAGAGAGAATGAAACCCAGCAGGAGAGCTGGACAGACAAACAAGGACAAAGAGTCAGAAATGGGACAAGATGTTGGCTGGCCATGGATGGTCAGGAAACAGCATGCGAGGGAAGGGGAGAGAGGAGATAGCAGGAGAGGAAGAGAATAACCCTGTCTAACCAATGGTGGCAAAGAGCAGTGAATCCGTCCCTCACCTGCCTTCCTCCCTGGGACCTGAATCGCGTGTTCACAGGAACTGGGCTGGGCTGGATCCCATCTCAGTGTCCCATGGTCACTAACTGAAGTTCTCCAGGGAGTTTCTTCTTGGGCACATTTTCCAAGCAATCGTGTGTTATCCAGGTGCGGAGGATGTCCCTGCTGGTCCCAGTGCAGCTTCTGCACCCAGCACCTGCAAGGGTTAGCAGAGAACTGTCTTGCCCACACTGTGGGTGAGACACAGATACCACGGCATGAGATACAAGGCAGTTTGATAATATCCAGTAACGACAAGATCTGTACATTGCTCCTCCTCCTCTAAAAGTAAAGGAAACGCCTGGCTCATGATTAAATCAGATGAGATTGATGTAGTAGAAAGCTGTTAGGGCGCAAAGAAAGATAGCATAGGGAAGGGTAAAACATTTCCCATATCTGTTGCATTAGTTGAGAAATCATCTGTTTTCGGGCTTTTTATTTAATGTCCATTTTCCTTGCATATTTGAATTTTTTGTCAGAAAACTAAACACCCTTAATGGACATATGTGAGTTATCAACTGCAATGTTTTTATTTTCTGTGATGCTTCATGAGAGGCATAGGTTGAGTTACCTGGTGCTGCCATTCTCTATGGGCCATGCCATCCTACAGAACTAAATCTCCCACTACATCCAGGTGAGTAGCATGACCAACTATCACCTCTCCCCAAGTGGGAAGACTGTGGTGCAACGTGGGAGCTGTAGTCTGGCCAGGGAGCCCTGTCTGTGGAGGAAAATGGGAACGAAAGGCACTTGAACTCCCCACCTCCACAAGCAAGGGTGGTGAAATTTCAGAATTCAAATACTCCAGTTTTTATTTTTTCACTCAGTAGTTAACATTTTCCTTGAGTCAAAAAAGAGTCAGAAACAATTGTTTATTTCTTCAAATCTTCAGAGGAAAAATATTCATTCTTTAATCAGCTGCCGTGTAGCATTCTATTGTATTATCTAAGAATTGGGGCTAATGAGAGACTCAGTAACAGCAAATATCCTCTTCAGTAGCTTGGTGGAAGCTCTGACCAAACTGGATAGGGACTGGACAAAAGCAATCAGTCCAGATGTAGACAGGACATCCTCAGTGAGAGGCAAGAAAGCTGGAGTGGTGACAAAATTGAAGGCCAAATTGCAAACTATCAACCATAAGCAACAGCTGTTCACCGAATTCCACGTCTCTGCAGTAAAATGCTGAAACTCAGTCTTGTGGTGGATAAGCTGGTTAGAATTAAACATTTTATTCTCATGTCTCAGCCACCAGCGTTTGGAAGAATCAGATATTCATCATGTTCATCATGGCCCGTCGTAACTCACTGGAGTCAATATTCTGGCTTGAAGCCCCCCGGTTCTCCCCCCTCCCGCTTTTTTAAATTGTTTGCAAAGAACCACAGTGGATCAGAAAGGAAAAGGTGTTGCTTAATTACAGGATGATAAATGGCTTCTTAAGGTGGATATTCCACTGTGCTTCCACTCGCTTAACATGAGAATGCAGGGGTGGGACCAAACAGGGTCAGAATTCTATGCTACCGTCCACTTTTTCTAACTTAAGCATCTGCAGTGTAAGGTGACACATTTTCCCTTGTCTTGAAATCACTATTTGATACCGTTGGGACCCAATGTAATGAGTCTATAGAAAGGTATGTGAGCAAAATTATTGAATCGAGACAAGAACGATTGTCTGATTCAGGAACCACAGAGGAACATTTGCAATTTTCAGCACGCTGTTTTCTGTCACTGGGCAGTGTGTAGCAGAGCAGCTCCAAATGGAACGTGTGTGTGAAAGTGCTAGTTTTACGCTATTGGTGCACCCAAGTTCGATCGGTAGCTGGGATCCAATTATGACCCACGGGAGTCCTGGGTATTGAGAATTCTTTCCATGTTTAGAAGCAGGTTACGTGTGTGAACTAGTATTCTCCATCCTCAACAGTGACAAATCTAAATGTCGTTCTCCACTAAGTCACGCTCACCTGATCTTGCTAAAACAAAAGGAAAAACTATGCAGCACTTTACAGACTAACAACATGGTTTAGTCAGTTATGAGCTTTCATGGGCCAGACCCACTTCCTCAGATCATATTCTGGAAGACAATTCGCAGGACCATATATACCAAAGGAATACAATGAAAAAAGTGAACACATTATTAAACTGACAAATCAGATTTATTACAGAAGGTAAGGTGAGGTGAGGGGGAGGGAAGGAGGGAATAGTTATTTGAGTCAATGAATGGCTATTCAGGGGGTGATAAGTGGGAAGCTATCTTTGTAATGGTTCAGGTAATTAGCATCTAAAGCCCATTCCTAAAGGGTCAAATTTAAGCATGAATGACAGTTCTGAAGTTTCCCTCTGTAATCTGGTGTTAAAGTCTCTTTGAAGTAAGATGCATGTAGTAAGGTCATTAAGACTATGTCCAGGTAGGCTGAAATGAAAAGAAACTGTTTTTTCCTTGTGAAGATGTCTGATGTCTGATTTGTGGGCATTAATTCTTTGGAGAAGTGTCTGAGAAGTCTGTCCAATATTCATAGCAGAAGGACACTGTTGGCACATGATGGCATAAATTAAATTTCTGGATGAACAGGAATACGTGTTCTTGATCATGTAACTGACAAAGTTAGGTCCAGTGATGGTGCCACTAGAGTAAATATGTGGACAAACTTGGCAATGGGGTTTGTTGCAAGGGAAAGTTCCACGGTTGGTACTAATGTTAGCCTGAGCACAACAAGTTGCTTTCAGTGATGATGCAGAGGTTCAAGTTAAGAGACACCCCTTACCTGGGAGCAATAGTGGCAGTTACTAAAAATCTACACTAAATGTAGGCAATTGCCAACATGGTTTGTCTTTAGCTATTTGTATTTTAATAACTTGTTTGAAAGGTGGCCTGTGCCAAGTGGCCACTGACATGCTGAGGAAAATACAGAACATCAGGAATCTTCCTGAAAACCCCAACCTGCCCTGCATGGCTGTAGAAGCTCTTTACACCATTCCACCTGATGTGGGATTCCTGGCTGTCAGGAACACTATCCCCGATGAGGTGACTGCACACCTGGTGACTGAGCTCGGTGACTCTGTCCTCACCCACAACTCTTTCCAATTTGGGGACAACTTAAATCTTCAAGACAGTGGCACAGCTATGGGCACCTACACGGCTTCACAATATGCCAACGTCTTTATGGCTGAGCTGGAACTTTTCTTCAGCTCTCCTCCCCTAGAGCCCTTAATCGGCTCACACTACATTGACGACATCTTCATCATATGGACCCACGGGAAGGAGACCCTTGAAGCATTCCACAGGGATTTCAGCGACTTCCACCTCACCATGAACCTTAGCCTGGACCAGTCCACACGAGAGAGCCACTTCCTTGACATGAGAGTACAATTAAAAGACACATTTCTACCACCTTCTACTGGAAACCTACATGTGTGAGGTAACGGGGACTATATGAATTCTGTTTGCCTCTGGATTCACTCTGTTTGCCTTGTGGAGTGTATGTGATTCTACTGTCCCGTGCTGTTCTGTAAGGATTCTATGTGTGTGTGCTTGCCTCAGTTTCCCTGGGCACTGCAACACCATCTGGACAAGCCGGGGAGGCTGGGCATGACTCACTGGGGAAGAATGTGCAACTTCTGAGTCCTGAGGGCCAGGGGACAGTAGATAACACCCTGGCCCCGGGCCAGGGAACAAAGGGGTAGCCAGGGCTGACATGGGGCTGTGGCCTAGGGAATGGGTCAGACTCTGCTGTATTAGGAGGAGAGAAGGGGCTTAGAGCAGAAAGTGGGGAGAAAAGCCCGAGACCCCTTCTCCCCGAGAGGAACAATACTGCCTGCTCTTGGGCCCTGTGTTCACATCAGTCCTATGCTACGCTGTGTTCCTGTCAACGAATAAACCTTCTATTCTACCTGCTGGATGAGGGTCACATCAGGCTGCGGATGAGGGTGCAGGGCCTGGTGATTCCCCCACACTCCATGACAACTGCCTCTAGCTTCCATCCCGGACATATCATCCAACCGATTGTTTACAGCCTGGCTCTAAGATACAACCGGATCTGCTAGAACCCCACAGACAGACAAACACCTACAGAATCTCTATCAGTCATTCTTAAAAATTAAATAGCCACCTGGGGAAGTGATAAAACATATTGACAAAGCTAGATGTGCTCCCAGGCATCAGCTTCTTCAAGATAGGCCCAAAAGATAAAACAATAGAACCGCACTGGTCATCATCTACAGCCACAACTTCAACCCCTCCAGTGCATCATTAACAATGTACAACCTATCCTGGAAAACAACCCCTCACTCTCACAGGCCTTGGGGGACAGGCCAATCCTCACTTACAGGCACCCCCCCCCCCACCCTGAAGCAAATTCTTTCCAGCAAACTCACATCACGTCAGGAACCTATCCCTGCAATAAACTCCATTGACAACTCTGTCCACATATCTGTAAAAGCGACATCATCACTAGAACTAACCACATAAGCACCAAATCAGAGGCTCATGCAACTGCACATCCACTAATGTGATATTTGTATGC